GCAGAACTGGACTGGGTCGATCACCGGCGACAAAATATCTCAACTAGTAAGAGCGTCCGTACAGAGTTCGGAGGGTCGTGTGTTTTCTTCTCTTGTTACATTTGGCGCCCAGCGAAATATAACGACAGAATGTAGTATATGGTCTCTACGTCTTCGGGGTCGAAGATTTTGTTAAAGGAGGGAGGAATGTAGCGGAACCCGACTGAGTCGATCGCCGGCGACCAGGTAGCCCAATTAGTTAAAGTGTCCGTCTAGAGTTTGGAGGGTACCGGGCTCGAAACCCAGTCTGGCCGTGCATTTTCCTCTAATGTGGCACAAATAATTCTCGGTAACATTAGATAGAAATAACATACAGGCTTCCATATATATAGTGCCGACATTAAGACGATCTAGTGTACGAGTGTTTTATATCCCTTCATTTAATTATTAACTAATGTCCTGGGGTGTTTGGACCAACCTGGTGGTTGTTTCCCGTTCTCTACGGCCTAGTGAATAGATAACCAAGTTGATCACAGTACTGAGTGGGAAAAGTTTTGACTATTAAACGAAGGGGCTGGGGTGAGGGTGATAGGTCACTTGTTTGTTACCAAAGGAAATGTTGTATGCACTGATGGAATACTTACAAATAATGAAAATAGATCCTGTTACGAAACGTCTCTTCAAAGCTGGCTACAGGGAGAGCTAGAGTCCAGAACACATCAGTCCTGCTTAGGCGCGCTCGTTAATTCCTGGGTGTATGTAAATTACATTGATTTGATGAGAATTAAAGTCAAACTTAATTTACCATCTTTTACGTGGAGAATAATTGTTAAACCATTGTGTAAAATAATAAAAGTATATATATAAATGGTTCTGATAATTGTATTCACGATTCGTAATTAGTTTTGTCTGACAACTCAAAAATGAAAAACCTAATTCACAGGTTTAGTACTCAGACAGGGACCAGAAGCTTAGGAAACATCAAAAACGTATATGCTAAATCAAGAATTTTTAACGAACTGACACTGTATATGTACAATATAGTAGTTGCCTGATAGTATTGTTGTAATGTGTTGTGAAGATTTCTCTTAAAAAAACAAAACTTATTTCAAGTAAACGTGAAAGAAAAAAACTACTAAAAGACCCAAAATTAGAAGCGAGATGACCTGAACGATACCAGTCTTCCCTTTTTGTTTTGTTTTTACAATTACTGAAAAGAAGACCTTATTTTGTCGCCTTTAATTCAAACATATATCACAAACATAATGTAATTTAAGGATAACGCTACGGAAAAAACATATACTAAACGAGGTTCGCTTGGTGACAAACACACTAGCACGTTCGCCATCGACATCTGAATCTCCTTCTTATTGTTGAAAAAGTAAAGGTCAAGTTTGTATCGAAGATATCTTATTCAGCAATCGTACAATATATTGATCCACGTTATGAATTTCCATATACGCCAGCCTTGTAAGCACTCGACTGTTTAAACAGAATGCGGAAATATGGAGTGCAAATCAATGCTTCTAAATCTCGTTTTTTGTTTAATATCAAATCAGGGGTACCAATTTTTTGCCTTCTGGTGGCTATCACCGATCAGTTTCATTTTTTGCATATTCATACCTGGGAGTTATGACTTCGTGATATGACATGAACTTAAGGTAAAATTGGTGACCATTATGAGATATGAGGGGGTAATATGTGGGTGATCAAAATCACATAGGGCCTCTTTTTGACAAAACAGCATGTTATTGTTTCCAAAACAATATCCTCATAATTGTGATGTATTGTGTAACACTAAAGCTGACAAAAAGAAATAAGACCGAACAAATTAGCAAACAGTGCTAAGTGGCTTTGTTATACATCGTTTAAGTCATGTCAACCGTGTCTCTTTTTTGTGATTAAATACACATCAGAACCAAACAATAATCTTACCAAACTGAAGTGAGCGGGGAAAGGGGGTTGAGGGTAATTTTATTTATATATTTTTTAACATATCTATTCATAATTGCTCCTTTCCTCGGCACAAAAGCTGTACTTTTAATATGGACATGAATTTGAAAATAGCCTGATTCATATACTCCTTTCTTGCAGTTTTCAGTTTGATTTTAACTGATGGTTTTATTATAACATTGTTCTATATTTTAAACTGTGCCATGTTACAACTTTCTGTAGAGTTTTACAACAATAAAGAAACTGTTCGTGTGTTACCCCTTTACCCTAACTAGACCAAGATAATACTACCAAGGTCACGTTTATATTCTAACTCACTATATATGTAAAGTATTGACGAACCGGTAAATCACGTCGCACATGTCATTTGAGGACTTAAATACACAATACGCTTTGGTCAAACACTTTCCTGATAGGAATTCATTTACAGGTAATCAAACGTACCGAATGTAGGAAGTAAAAGTGAGGGAGGTAAGTCTGCTTTAGTTTATTCTAATATCAATGAAACAATGTTTTCTTTTTGTATTGTGGAATTGGTTTGAAATATCTATAAAAAAAATCTTTAAATGAAAAGAACTTCATGACAAAGTAAAGATGCGTAGAAATAACAAGTTAACACAAGTTCGTTCTTCTGTCTAGCTTTATAAACTGAGCCGAGGAATTTGTGCTTATAACCAATGCGGAAACATCTAAAAGAATTTTTTTCACATTATTTAGTAATAAAACACAACAAATGCCCTCAGAAGTATTTGTTTATTTTGATAAACATATTACCATCACAGTTGTAACATAGATATTGAAAAATCGAATCGTATAGATATCAATTAATTCTGTTGTGCTTAATTTTGAGCGAGGAAGATATGTAGTTTATAGATGTTATGAATTTATTTGATGATTTATCATATTTCAATGAAGTAAGTCCATTTTATAATTTGTTTTTAATATTTGTTCAAAGGAATCTGCTAAATGATCAAGCGAAACATATCATCCACAGAATTATGTTGCTTACAGTTTTTGACCTTATCGATTGATTGTGTAGGTATAGCTGCATCGGAATATTCACGTTACCAAGCTTCGACAAATATCAAGTTGCATAGGTTGACACTGATCAAAAGGTGTCAATACAAATTCATTTGCTTGGGTTGCAAACGGGATTTCTAATCTCTTATTCAAATAAACAGAACTCAAACGAAATAGAAGACATTGACTGCTATAAATTTCGTGAATAAAGAGTTATTTAGTTTAGCAGATCTATTTGCGTGCACCGGGATCCGGAATGCATGTTTAGATTATCTTTTTTAATCTTATAGTAAAAGATGGCAGTCTGAATGTTTGAAGTCGCAAAAGCGAAATAAATATCTATTTCAGTAGGAAAAGATCGCAGTGTGGATAGATACTGAATATGTAACACTATATAGCAAGGTACATGTAGCTTAAATAAAACATTGAAATTGAAAGCATTTCCAATAATGTCAACAACTGGCTTCTAAATGTTGATTGCCTGACACACAATAGGGTATCTTTTAACATAAGTGGTCATCATAATTGATATAATTGATCATTAAATAATAAATATGGTGAAAAGGCTTCATTTCAACAAACAAAATGAACAACCACTGAAATAAAACGTGTATTTATTTATTATTTATTTATTTGTATATTTTTCGTTCTAGAAATAATTCTGGTAGTGGCGATAAACAATGGGGAATACACAGTAAGTGTTTTGGATTTTATTGAAATACTTCCTAGAGAGATAATTTGTAATGAGTAATCTATTGTTTTATTTGACGTGTGGTAGTTAATTGTTCAATGAGTATAATGTTTATTTTTAGAACACAGGAAGAGCAAGACAACACGCCAAAAACGGAGGAAACGCATGACATAGCTACAGAGGAGGAGGAGGAGGAGGAGGAGGAGGAGGAGGAGGGAGAGGAGGAGGAGAAAGGGGAGGAGGACAGAACGGAGGAGGAGGAAGAGAGGTAGATATATTGCAGATAGCACTCCTGCTTTTTTTTAAACGCCCGCACAATCAAATTAATGTTTATGGGTGCATTATTTAGCAAAGGAAAAGTGTTTTTATCAAGTAATAAATCAAGCAAACGTACGCTATCTTAATTAATTGTTCAACACATAATAGTTTGTGCAGGAAACATTGGTACTGGAAATATCCTAGCATCGCTTTACGCCATGACATCATATCAATTAACTCAATGCTTACATTCCGTCTCGGGTACGTTTCGGTAAAGGATAGATGACGATTTTTCATCTTTTTATTTTAGACGACTGTAAGTTACCTTCCGTTACGTTTACTCGTATTTTCGCTCTTTTGGGAGGAAGTTCCGTTTTTGTGATCGTAGGGGATGGACAAAATAATCAAACATGCAGTAAATGATTACTATCTTTGACTGCCTGCATAATATTGCGTACCTGCTGTTTGTAGTGATGGTTCTAGTTCACGTGGTGGTCGACTCTTTTGATCGACTTTCGGTGAACTAAGCTGATCATGACCTTCCAGATAAAATATATTCTGGCACATTTTACACGAACAAACTAATATAATAGGAAGGATCTAGTGTTGCCAAAACGTGTAAACTTGTTATCATATAAAGGCATTCATAGGCTCATTTTTCTTTCCGTTTTGTTCATTGACATGTCTTGAAGCCCTTTAAACTACGATTTCCATGTTAAATCTTTAGTACCAGAAAAAAATACTAAATGAACAATAAAGACATATCGAGCAGAAAATGTTTTTCTTTGTTTTCAATTCTGCGTCCACTTACTTTATTTTTGAATAACTATTTCCTTACTTCGTATTTCCAGTAATTAATAAAAAAAAATATCTATTTTAACTAGGGTTGTTCATTTCCAATTGATTGTATTAAACTATCAATACTATGAAACACTGGATACACTTTAACATTTTCACTTGCGGTAGTGGTATTATTACTATGGTGATAAGAAAATATTGGTATTCTTAATTTGGCCAAAAAATCTTTCTTTATTAAAACAAAAGTATTATATATATGAACCAAATCACAAAACTAGTCAAGCTTTCTTGTTCTATTTAGAAAAGCCGCTGTTACTATCACGCCATGGAGTAACGAGGAACGCAATGCAAGGTTTTCAGAGATAAAAGTAGAAAAGGATGATGTGTTCGTATCAACAATTTTTAATATAACAATTCAGGAGATAGAACAGAAAGTGGACGGAGATTCTACGACTACTGCAGACGCGACGCCGAGTACAGACGAAGTTAAAGCCGTCAGAGATGTGATATTTAAACACAACTCAAGGAAGATGGTGGAAGTTGCGTCTATTCATTCAGTAATCGACAGTACAGACGACGAGAAAACTGTTGACTGCATAATGCTCGCTCTGGAACAGGAAATCACAAAAAACCTTGTCATTTACACTTGTCATCAGTACAATGGAAGCGAGTGGACCAAAACTGAAATTGAGCAGAAGGTATCTTTTGGTAATTCAGTAATTTTGATAGTATTGGGGAGCACTTTAATCCTGTTTCGTTTCCCTTTTGATAATATTTTATTAAAATTGATTAACATTTCGATCAATGAAGACATTGTTCTGCGAATTTGCCCCAGATAGAAATAGCTGTGATGAGAGTTTATGGTGACATTGGAGTCAACTAATGTTGGTCTTGCAAGCATATTCAATTGTTGCTACTGCTTGAAATATTTCTAAAAAAATAAGATATAGTATTTCAAAAATAAAAAGAAGAATTCTAAAATTTACTCATATTTCAACAAAATCTGCTCAGACATGTCCTCACTTAAAAAAATTCCGGAGGGTTTTTTGTTATCTGACTTTACTTTAGTATGAATATGAACGGTGTTCTTTTCAGCTGAGAAAAGCATCAGATGAGCGTTTTGTCTGTAAGAAGACAACCAGGAACAACTTGCACTTCAGATTTTTCTTCTGAACTCAAACTTAAGGAAACCTCAGAATCCCGATACAAATTCATACATTTACGTACAGTATAAAAAAATGGTCATATTTATACCAAATTGCATCAGAAACGTAACAACTTCCTTTCCTCGATCGCTTAATATCCATGTCCTTTAAGGTAACGATCAATATTCCTTAACGTATGAAGTTCACTTCACCAGACATTTTAGTCGCTATTCCAAGGCTTGGTTTAAGTACATTTTCCTAATAAGATAGAAGCGTCCTGCTCACTGATAAACACTTAAAGTTATCCAAGGTTTTCTGCATGAGGAGGTTCAATCTACGTTAAAGAAATGTTACAGTTGTTATCTTGATTTTACTTCACCTACTGCAGTTTAAGAGTGTACCATGATAACTTTATCTTATATCGCTTATAACTTACATAATATTGATGGATTTTACGGGAGAAATATCATGACTGGTGGCACATGTGTTAATAGCTACTCGTATCATTCTGGTTTACAATATATCGCCTGTGTTTAAGATGAAGTATTGATATATTATCATTCCAGATAATATTTTGCCGCCTCTTTGTTTTTAGTAAGATCTTACAATTATGTATCGCGTTGTGTCACCTCCTTCCTTGGGGGCGTAAATCATGTTTTTCTTCCTTCCAGAGCGCATTGTGTCGCTCTTGTTTAGTGGAGTCAAGCATGTCTTTAATTCTAGATCACATTGTTTTGGCTCTGGGTCTTAGTGAAGTGAAAATAATGTCTTTCATTTTAGCTCTGGTTGATGTACTAGTACTCAAACTGTGGTGCATTTGTTTGCAGTGATGCATTTTATTTTAGTAAAATCAAAACTAATTAAATGAAAATGGATTTTCTTCTGAGATATTTATTTAGTAACATATTTATTTTTTTGACTTTTAACAAGGTTGGACTTAGCCCAGTAGAGGTTGCCGTCTACGACTTGACAACAAAAACCATATTCTTCACATTGCGTTATATGTGTGAAGAAGTCATTGTACCTACTGGTGGGTTCGAGTATAAAAACGACTTCTGTCCACAACAACGAATCACATTCCCAGAAGGAGCTGTCGAGGGAAACATGAAAATAACCATAAATGTTCGTTGTATTTTTGTTAATTAAATGGTTGCAGATTGATTGATACGAATAAAAACGACACTGGTGCCATATAAAACTATTACAATGGATGTGTAAATGATTCATTCCGTTATGTATCAAAATAATTTTCTTGATATTTTTTCTACATACACTTCAAAGGGCACTTGCTCCCTGGCTCGATATTCTTCTTTAAACTAAACATAAATATTTATTTTATTATGTTTCTTCGTTTACAGACAATGTCTATTGAAGGTGAATGTAAGAAAAAAAGACTGAGAGAAGAAATGGGATCCGACACCAGCATCTCCAGTTTATCAGATATCGTGTATGTTCACCATTCGAAGCCATTCAAGAAAAAGGTTAAACTTCGGCTAAAACTGGATCCTTTATTCAGCGATAATCAATCTTCGGAAACCTTCTTGTTTCATTGTGACCACAATGGATGTTTGATGATATTAGAAGATGTGAAGATGAGGAAGGTACCTGAGGAGGAAGTAGGGGGAGATAACCATATTTATGAAGTAGAGGTGGACACCTTTTCAGGGTAAGTCTTAATTACATCTGATCAGGCTCAATATATGCAATATCATCCGCTTCTCTCCACTAAGAAATGAATGTATCCTCTGACGGCCAAGACAACTTTGTAAGGTAACACTTACATTAAATCAATAACCTCTTGTCTGTAAACGTCTGTATCGATACAAATGCATGTTTATTCTTTAATTGTGAATAGAACAAAATATATATGAATATTAATAATTGTTTGTGTCATAGCTTAGATCATAACCAGACTGATATTTGTCTTAAAACCTTCTGTATTCTGGCCAGAAATTGTTTATCTTGAATACAATTTCTTTCCTTTAAGAGCCGGAGTGTTCAAATGCATTTGTATTCTTCAATTGTGAATAGAACAAAACATATATCAATATTAAAATCTAATAATTGTTTGTGTCATAGCTTAGATCAACGCCTGACTGATATATGCCTCAAAACCTTTTGTATTCTGGCAAAGAATTTTTGTTTACTTTGAAGTACAATTTCTCTCCTTTAAGAGTCGGAGGGTTCCAGGGTAACCGCAAACAAGACTACACAAGAACTCTGCCAAATATTTATGGTTTAGGCAGAGATCAATGCAGAATTCTCGTTTTCCTGTATAAGGCAGACAATGATTTACATCTTTGGTCGGATATTGTTACCGAGAAAAAATGGAAAAAGAGGGAAAGTGAGCTACAAAAACGGGAGGGTCTGATCTTTCTGAAGAACACAATATCTCATTCTGTGCCTGTGAAGAATTTTGGCCGCCTAAGAATTTCTGTGTTAAAACATGGAAGAATGTTAGCAGCTCCCGAGGTTCCCTCCAATTCCACTTTCATGTACTACGATCGACATGCCAGGGAAATCTACAACCACTTCCCGGTTGTTCCAAACAAAGGAATAACAAATGAAACGGGGATTATTCAGTATGAAATAGACACAGCTCCCAGACGCCTCCTACATACGGCATACATTAATGTTGATCTTTATCTGGTCGGACTTCAGCAAACAGTACCAGTACGTCAAGAACGACAACCAACACTGCGCCCGAAAACCCAAATGCAGCCAGAAAGACCAATGTCACGACAACCTGGAGTTCGAAGAAAATCAAAAGCGGACGACTTAAACAATGGTGTGTATATGTAGATGCAGCTGGAACGTTGTTGAATTGACTCTGCTATCAGTTAAAAGTAAAAATTAAATATGCTGTTTTAAGTTTAGTACAAATGCGTAGAAGAGTGCAGGTTGCTAAACATACATACAGAAAACGTCAACGTCATATCAAATAAAATTATTATGATTGTAAACTGTTACGTGCTGAGTAAGTACTTGAATTAACATATACGTGAAAATATTATCATGCCAAAAATACTCGGAGAAAAATTTAAAAAAATATATTGAAAGAATTGTTATACATTCATTACCGATAAACTTTTAATTCACCTTGTCGTTTCTTTTCAGATTTTTTCAGCGAACAAAGCTTATTCTTTCTTGCACGGGAGATACCGACAACCAAAGTATGGGAACTGATTTTGCAACTTGGCCTACGCATGTACCAAATCGAAAACATTCGCTCCGCCAACCAATATGACAACAAATACAAAATGGCGTTAATACTCCATACTCCATTGGAACAATGAAAACAGGAAGAAACAACCGGACAGCAAGCTTGCCATTCTTTGTGATGCACTGAAAGAGGTTGAATTGACTCCAATCGCTGACGTGTTGGAGTCGGTATATAACGAACATCGATCTTTAAAAACCGGCGACTTTTCAAATTAATCAACTACACTATACCTGGCATTTGTGAATTGAACGTTATTAAGGATCACAAACGATTAATAACGTAACACAGATCCGATTGAATAAGCACCATTTCTTTGAATAAACTTGTAGTTATTGGAATATTTTTGGTGTGAATATTAAGTTGACATTTTAATTTTTTGAATTTTGATAAGTTAAAACACAACAGATTCCAATATCAGCCTAACTTGTCATGATAGGAGCTGGTCCTCTGTGAGTATCAAGGGTCGCCATGTTGTATCTGAATCCTTTAGATGAGGCTTTAGTTTCACAATTTCAACACCACGACAACGGATTCAAATTAGCTCATATGCAAACAAAAAGCACGGCGATAATGTTTTTAATGGCTAACGATAAAAAAAATATACATAATATGATGTAATATTATAAAAATGTCAACAAAATTAGTTAATGTCATATACCTGAATGAACGAAGTGGCATACGTGTGTTGGCTAACCTCTAGTTCATTTTGATCGACTTATGACTTTCAGTTGAATATTGTAATTGGCATAGTAAGAAGCTGTTTGTACATCAGGCTTACGGTTTACATTCAGACAGGAACACTGTAAGAGGTTATACACCCATTATAAACCTCATTCAGGCTCGTAAGTATAATACTAGTAATATTGTGCTTCCGTGCAAGTATTTATTCATTCTGTTTNCGCTACCCAAATCGGTATGCTACCAAGACTGGTACTCTGCCAGAAAGTGTTTCAAATAGTTCTTAAAATTTCATTTGTGCACTTGCCTGTTGGAATATATCGATATAGCTATCTGTCGGGCGGGGAGAAGGACACATTGTTGGTTGTCAATATTTTAAACATATTCGGTTTAGGGTTTAATTACAGGAAGGTTTACATACACACATACATATTGAACCGGATAATAAATATACATATATAAAATGGTTTCTTTTTTGTAATTTGCATATAACGGTGTACTTTTCTCATCATTACCGAAACCGAAATTTGATCAAAGTCCAATGTGATCAAAGTCCAGTGCTCTAAATTTAGAAACAAATTACTTAGAATTCATTTTGTTAAATGGTAGAACATTGGCAGCTCTTGTAAAAAAAACAATGAAAACAAAAATCTAGAAACATTCTATAGCTATGATTTCGAATTTATTAAGTATTTTGAATATTATAGAAAAACATCAAAATTGAAACCAAATAGCGTTTGGGTAGCGTCACAATAAACAAACACTTGAAGCCTCTATAGTTATTAACTGCTATATTATTACTGTTATTTCCCTTTACTAATTTTATGCGTGTCTTGGCAAAGGGGTAGAATGCCTCAAAAGTTTATAGTCAACACAGTCTCTATATTATGTCTTTATTTATTACCAGATATAAGTCAACATGAATCATTGTTCGGGGCTATGTGTCACCAATGTGTGTTGATATTAACCATATTACTTGTACGTAAAGATATCGAAGGGATTTTACTTGTTATATGTAACCCATTAGGATATTAGAAAAGAATTAATTAAATGTATGTTTGTTCCTCATATATTCTATATTTATCTTTTATAACACCTTGGACACATAATGTTGAACTCACCTGTTG